CACTGTTTTACAGACAGTCTCCATTTTGAGACAGCTCTAATGGTTATTAAATTTTTCCAAACATTGAACTAAAATGTTCCACTTTCATCCATTGTTGCTGGTCCTGTTCTCTGGGTTCAAACAGATGAGTCCTACTCCCCTCCATCATGACATCCCTTCAAATTCTTGAAGATAGCCAATCATGTCCTGACCATACTGTCTCTTCTCCAGGCTATTCAATCCAACCTATACTTATTAAGTGCCTATACTATGTGCCAGGAACTGAACCATGAGCTGAAGATACAAAGATAAAAATAAAATAAAATCCCTGTCCTCAACAATATTATATTCTAATCGTATGTACAACATAATAAAGGTAAGCAAATATGTTAATTTGAGGAAGGATAGAATACCAACAACTGCAGTTAGGACAGTCTTCTTGGAGGTGGTGAGACCTGAGATTTAGGAAGGAAAGGATTCTAAAAGGCAGAGGTGAGGAAGGGGTGTCATCCAGGTTTGGGGGATAGCTGGCCTGTGGGAAGACACTAAGATGAGAGATGAAGGGTTGAATTCAGCTTGTAGGCTAGTTTGGCCAGAACTCAGATTATGCAAAGGAAAGAAATATGAAATAAGTATGGAAAAAACTAAGTTGGAGCCAATTGTGTAAGGCCCAACTAAGGACACTATATTTTATCAGCGGGGCAATTAGGAGTCACTTACGGGTACTTAGGTGTTGAAGTGGATAGAGTGCCTGGCCTGAGGTCGGGAAAAGTTATCTTCCTGAGTTCAAATCCTGTCTCAGACATTTATTAGCTGTGTGACCCTGGCCAAGTCACTTAACCCTGTTTGCCTCAGTTTCCTCGTGTAAAATGAGCTGGAGAAGGAACTGGGAAACCAATCCTGTATCTTTGCCAAGAAAACCCCAAATGGGTTAAAAAGAATGGGACATGCCTGAATAACAAAAAGGAACCACTGAAGACTTTGGGGGTGGATGGGGAAGGAGTAGTGACATGGTTAGAAGTGTGCTTCTAGTGCATTATTTTGGCTATTCAGTGAAGGACAGATTATTAACAATTATAATAAATAGCATTTATATAGCACTTTAAGGTTTACAAAGCATTTTACACATATCATCTCATTTGGTTCTCACAACCCCCTTGGGAGGTAGGTACTATTATTATCCCCATTCCACAGTTGAGGAAACTGAGGCACTTAAGTGACTTGCCTAGGATCACATAGCCAATATGTGTCTTGAAGCAAAATTTGACTTAGTCTTGCTGACTCCAGGACTGGTGTGTCACCGATAAAAACAAACCTGAGAGAGGAAAATCTCCAAAGAAAGGTGTACATCATCACAGGGTGGCAATGGCACCAGGATCCTGATTCTGGGCAAGTCTCTGCCTGAAGAGGCAGCACTGGTGTGGTGAAAAGAAAGCTGGATTTGGAATCAGAGGGCCTGTGGAGCCCTTACTTCATGGATGACGTTGGGTGGCAAGTCACTTCACTACTCTGGTCTGGTTTCTTCCCCTGGAAATGCGAGGCTAGACTCTAAGGTGCCTTGCAGCTCTGAATCTACGATTCTTCCAAGGAGGAAGTGTGTGCTGCTCTGCTGTGCACACAATGGGAGCAACTCAAGAAGGAAGCCAGGATGAAAAGACTTTTCCGTGGGATTCCAAGTGACATCTGGAAACTCACTGTGGAATGTTTGGGGAATGGGCTTACTGGGAAGTGGAGAATAGAAGGTGTTTCCTTTCCTGTTTTCTGATACGTCGTGGCCAGCTTACTTGCAAATGGGAAGTTGATGCTGACTTTTTAGTCAGCCTAGTGGAAAAATTTTCCCAGGTTTCTGGATAGGGGCTTAAGCTAAGAAGAACTGATATCCCTTCTCCTACCCACAAAAATATAACCTGGTGGTCCTGGCCCATAAAGTTTTTTTTCAGAACTGCATAAGGTTTTTAGAAATAATTTTTGAGAGCTGGGTGGAAATATATGAACATAACTATTTCAGTCATGCAAAAAAAGTCACAAATTTTGGGAGGGTTTCAGGGAAAAGGTCATTGAGGAGAACTTTTTCCTAAAGGTTTTTGCCTTCTTTTTCTGTATCTGCCCATTCTTTTGGGACCCTGGGCATGTTATCAATTAGCCTCTCTGGGGCTAAGTTCGATCATCGCTTGTTCCCCCTTCATTTTTGAAGAGGACCAGTGACATCACAGGGTGATGTCTTGACTCATGAATGAATTGGATTTAAGTGAGGCAGAGTTGCATAAAGTTGTCAGCCTCAATCTATCTTCCAGTCATCTGAGTCCAGTGGCAAGACAAAAGTCAGGACTACTGGCAATGGCCTGGGATGCCACAGATGACCTTGGTGTCTTCGATGTCTGACCAAGCTCCAACTATTCCATAGCGCCTGCTTCAACCACCTTCGTGGCCTCATCTGCCCATTCCACTGGGGAAAGTCTTCACTATCGGTTTGAGGCCTGCTGGTTACCTTCGACCTGGTTCAGCCCTTCTGCCAAGATGATTTTACTGAGGTGTGACCACTGTGCAATGCTATAGCTCCCAGAAGCCACAGTTGAGAGTCAGGTGACTGCCTGGACACGAGAAGTGAATGAGCAGGCCTGAAAAGGGGTCAGCAAGCCCTCACACCAAAAGTACTAGTCCTCCCTGAACATCCCATACACCCTTCCTGTAAGGTAAGATTAAATCAGATGATATCTAAAGCCTTTTCCAGCCCTGGATTTTTTTTAAAATCTTCAAACTAATAGTAAATAAGTTCCCTAGACTGGATGGTGTCCACTCTAGAGTTTTGCTAGAACTCAAGGACAAAAGGGAACTGCTGGCCATGGTAGATAACCTATAGCTATAACATGGTTACCATCCCAGAGGCCTGCTGCATCATCTGTGTTGCCTCTACCCTGGAGGAGGGGTCCTTTCAGGTTTGCCCTGGAAACTACAGATTCCAGTCTCATTTTCATTCCTCAAAAACTGGTAGAATCTCTAATAAAGGTTTTAACTACAGAACATTTAGACAATTAGAACAGGCAACATAGTTTCTATAAGGGGAAAACATGCCTAAATAGTCTACTGGAGTTCTTCTGGTGGGGGAAGGAGAAGGGGAGTTCCAGGAATAAATATGCAGATGGCTACTGGAAATACAGTGGACATAATTCTCCTTTGATGACTCTTTAAAAAAAAGTCTCTGATAAAGTTCTACACTAAAGACTAGTTACTAACTGAAATCACCAGGGGGCCAGTTTTTTTTCTTTAAGAGTAAGGAGTGGGGAGGGGGGGAGGGCCAGCTAGGTGGTGCAGTATACAGAGTACCAGCCCTGGAGTCAGGAGGACCTGAGTTCAAGTTTAGCCTCAGACACTTGACATTTACTAGCTGGGTGACCCTGGGCAAGTCACTTAACCCCATTACCTAGCCAAAAAAAGGAAAAAAAAAAAGCATATAATCTAGAAAAAAAAAAAAGGGCTGGAGTCAGCAGAGAATATATGGGGAACGTAAAGGGTGGGGATCTCCCAAGTATGAGGTAGGCCCAGTTTTAATTTTGTGAATGTCCAAGAGGAGAGAATGCATAGTGAAATATCCAAGTATGCAAATAAAATACAGCTTTTACACCAGGCAGATGGAAAATAAATGGCAGGAATGTATTATGGGGCTTCAAGAGGGAACAGAAAAACAGCAGGTGAACTTCAGTGTGGACAACCACAGGACAAGGCAAAAATGTTCTCAACTTACATAAATCAATTGAAAACTCGAGAAAGACATCTAGGAATCATCACAGACTACATCCAAAAGACATTGGCCCAAGCTGGTGCTTGAGCCAAAGGCTTTGGGGTTTTTGAGGATAGCATCATGGAGGACAACCAATCATTCCCTCCTATGAGGGAGGTGCCTTGGTACCTTTCAGTAAACAGAATTCTGAGTGGAACATGCTTTGGAATTGGAAATGGGCACTCCACTACATCTAAATGACAGGTGCTACTGGAGCAATAGGTCCTACATGGCGGGAGAACTGTCAGGAGCACGGGTAAGATGGGTAGGGGCTGAAGGACAAGGTTGATGACTCTAGGTCAGTTCTTAACATTTTTTTGTATCATGAACACATTTGACAGTCTGCTAAAGTCTATGAACTGCTCTGATTAATGCCTTTAAATTCCTAAAATAAAATATAAACGATTACAAAGAAAACCAAGTATACTGAAATAGTTACCAATTTTTTTTTTCTTTTTGGTGAGGCAATCCGGGTTAAATGACTTGCCCAGGGTCACACAGCTAGTAAGTGTCAAGTCTCTGAAACTGGATTTGAACTCAGGTCCTCCTGACTCCAAGGCCAGAGCTCTATTCATTGCACCACCTAGCTGCCCCCAAAATATTTTTTAAAAAACAAGTTCACAAAATATGTTTAATAGGAATGTATATGTATAGCCTATATCAGATTGCAGGAAGGAGGTGAGAAGGGAGGGGGTGAAAAATTTAAAACTCAAAAGCTTATGGAAGTGATTGTTGATAATTCAAAATAAATTAATTTTTAAAAAAAAGAGAGGGGGGGAAAAGAAAAAAAAAACAAGTTCACAGACCCCAGGTTAAGAACCCGTGCTCTAGGGTACGACATATGAAAGCAGCAAGAGGGGGAAGATGGGATATTGTGAGAGAAAGGATGCTCAGGGTATGGGACCTCCTCTTGGTATCATACCTCAGACTATATCTCAGTCCCAACTCATCCTTTCTTTCTTTCTGCTGGCCCCAAGAAGTGGCTTCCCTGCTATGCGTCCCCAATGACAGTTACCTATTGCTTCTGACATGCAACTTCCCTAGATCCTCTGTCTCTGAAGTATCTGAAAGTCCCCTTCTGGGACTTTCCGAGGATTTTTATTATTAGTTGTCACGTAGGAACAGAGTATAAAAAATCTCTTTCTAACACTGCACAATTATAACTAAGCTTGGTCTGGAAAAGAATTGAGAAACTATACCTCCCTCTCTTCTTGGAGGGAATAAGGAAGCAGGACTATGGATGTAAAGTATTACATATATTGTCAAATATGATCAGTTTTATTGAACTACTTTTTTTCTCTTTTAAAAAAAGATCTTGTTCAAAGAGATGGTTCATGGTAAGAGTAAAGGGAGGGATATATTCAGAAATAAATGTGAAGTGAAAACAAAGGTATTGATAAAAATGATAATTTTTTAACCTCCCCATTATATTCTCTTTCCCCCCCCCCAAATTAGAAGAGAAGAATGACAAGGGATAAGGGGAGTCTTTGAGTAGATAAAGGACTTCAGAAGGAATAATTCTACTCCAACGGTTTGGAAAGCATTCCATCTCTGTCTGGAAAATACTCCCTGATGCTAGACTCAGAGTGCTCAGGCAATAAAGCAGAAAACACTGTCCTAATAGATCCCAGGGTCCTTTCAGTCTTGCCTTCCCTAGCCCTGGTGGGAAATCCTCCAAGATCCCACCTAGTTAAGCCTGGGCCACTTTACTCACTCTGGAGACTTACTAGACTTATTCATCCTTTATGGTTAAAAATCCAAACCAGGGCTGAGGACAGGGCCACAAGACCAGATCGTGTCAGAGCTCAGACAATTAAATCCTGAGTCCAGTCTGAGGCCTTCAGGTCTACTACAGTGTCAGATGTTCAGATGGGATCTAATTCCAGGAACCAAGAACCAATCCTAAACCCTTGGAACATAATATGGTACACAAGGAAATGGAAAGATGGGTTCCAAAGGCAGCCCCTTTTTATAGCCAAGAAAGGAACAAGATGATAGGGTGGGATCTTCCTAGACCAGTAAATGGTCAGAGGGGTAAGCCTGGAGGAACCATCAACACACAGTAGCTATAGCCATGTTGGTCTCACATTAATACCATGGACTTCCTGAACACCAGTTTCAGCCCTGATATCCCAGTAGCAGTTTCCAGGAAAGTGGGTCACGAGCTGTCCTTGTCCATCCACCCTGAGAATCTTCTCCCTAGCTTGAGAGAACCCTCTGTATCCGTTCCCGAACTTCCTTTGGTCCCAAGGACACCATCATCTCTGCAACAGTTGGGCCTCGCTGAAAATAAGAAGAAATCCTGGGATCAGATCCCTAAATGTTCAGGAGACATCTTCCACCTGCCATTACAGTTAGAGAGGGACCACTCTGTGGTTTGGTTAAGTCTTTCTCAGGACTTGAAGTTTAAAAGATTAGGGGGTGCCCAGGGGAAGGATTCAGAAGAGAAGCCGGCCAAGCTGACCTGCTGTCCACTGAGTGCCATGCGGAGAAGTTTCATCATTCTGACATACTCAACACCTTCTGTTTTCTCTGACAGTCTTTTCAGCTCTTGGTTCAGCACCTCCTGAGTGAGAGATATGCCGGGTGTTTCCAACAACCTAGAAGAAGCCCAACTGATTCATTAGATCTCCCATAGACTTCTGCGGGATTCTCCTCAAAGAGGGGCCCAAAGGAAGGAATGCAAAGTGGGAGGGAATTTCCCAGAAGGCTCTCATTCAACAACAGTGTAGAATATGGTAACTATCAAGCTTTAAAGCTACTTTAAGAAGAAACATACTATGATATAATCCAATCTGGTTAAGTATGAAAAATTTTCCAGAAGAATGACCCAGGAAAAGACAATCTCCTGTGAATTTTTAGTCTTCCAAAAGTAGGAAACACTAGACTACAGGGTGACCAAAGAGAAGAAAAAGAGTCCATTTCTATGCAGGCAAGTGGAAATAAAAAGGAACACCACCAGGAAGTCAGAAAATTGCAACGGCTTCAGAGCAGAGTAGTGAGTCAATTAGATGACAAAAGGATTAGGGCTTCTGGTGAATTACTTGAAGCAGAGACTAACCAAAAGTCAGCAAAGATGGCAATGGTAATTCATCACAAGGTCTCCTCTGGTAATAGCTATCTTCCCATAACCCTCCTCGCTTTCCTGGCTAAACAACTTGAGAAGGCCACTGACAGTCAATGCCTTTACTTCCTTCCCTCTCACTCTCTTCTTAACTCTCTGCAATCTGGCTTCCAACCTCATGATTCAACTGAAACTGATCTCTCCACAGTTATCTGTGATCTCTTAATTGACTAATCTAATGACCTTTTCTCGATCTTCATTCTTTTCTATCTCGCTGTAGCCTTTAACACTGCTGATCACCCTCTTCTCCTTCATACTCTCTTCTGTCTAGGTTTTCACTCTCTCCTGGTTCTCTTCCTAACTTTCTGGCTCCTTCTCAATCTCCTTTGTTGGAACTTTCATCCAAATCACAACTACTAACCATGAGTGTGCACTAAGCCTCTGTCCTGGGTCCTCTTCTCTTCTCTCTCTATGCCATTTTGCTCAGTAATCTAATTGGCTTCCATGGATTCAACTATCATTTCTATGTAGACCATTCTAAGACATGCTCTAACTTCTCTCCTGATCTCTAAGTCTCACGTCTCCAACTGCCCACTGGTCATCTTAAACTGGATGTCCCATAGATATCTTAATTAAACCAACAAATTCAAAACTGAACTCATTATCTTTCCTCCCAAACCCCTCCCCTCTTCCTAAACTCCTTATTACTGTTGAAAGTACCACCACCCTTCCTAGCTCACACCCTAGGTGCCATCCCTTGACTCCTCACTCTGACCACCCTTACATTCAATCAGTTGCCACTTCTCATATCTCCCCCCTTCTCTCTGGACACAGCTACCACCTTGGTGCAGGACCCTCACTCCTGAACTATTACAATAGCCTTCTCTTCTACCTCAAGTTTCTCCCCGCTCCAGCCCACTGTCCAGTCAGCTATCAAATGGATTTTCCTGAAGCACGGATATAACTATGTAGGGGCCATCTCCAGTTGTCCTGATCTATATCTGGCCACTGGACCCAAATTGCTCTGGAGGAGAAAATGAGCCTGGTGACTTTGCACAGCCCTCCCTCACTTTAATCCAAGTCAATTGCAAGGCATGACATCATCTTCCAGATGTCCTGTTCCTCTTCAAGAATGAAGGACAAACCACACACATAACCATGTCACTCTCCTATTCAATAAACTCCAGTGACTTGCTATTACCTCCAGAATAAAATATAAAATTCTATCTTTGCCTTTTAAAATCCCTTATATCCTGTGCTCTCTGGTCTTTCTGCATTTTACTCTCCTTTATGCACCCTGTGATCTGGTGACACTGGCCTCCTTGTCATTTCTTGCACAAACACTCCAACTCCTGAATCAATGCATTTTCACTGACTGTTCCTCATCATCCCTGCCTTCTGGCTTCCTTCAAGTTTCACTTAAAATCCTACCTTCTGCAAGGAGCCTTTGTCCAGCCCTTCTTAGGGCTAGTGCCTCCCTCCTCAGATTACCTCCAATTTACCACATATATACTTCCTGATTGCATTTAGTAGTTTGTGTATTGAATTCTTCTTGTGCCTAGTGCTTAGCACAATTCCTGGCAAAGAGTAAGTACTCAATAAATGCTGGTTGACCTGATTTGAACACCTGACTACAAATTAAGAGACTTAACCCTAATTCCCACTCTTAATTCATTAGCTAACTAGCTGGATGACCACAGGCAAATCACTTCAACTTTCTGTGCCTCAGTTTTCTTACATATAAAACGAGGGGGTAGATGGGGTGACCTCTAACATTCCTTCTACCTCTTAAATTAAGCTTGGATTCTATGAGCCAGCCATTAAATGATTCTCCCAAGGGCAAGATAGGGCTTCCAAACTAGACTGAACAAATCCCCTAGATAAAAGATTTGTATGGTAAAACTTAGACTCAGTCAAAAGACTGCACCCAAATATCTAGAAGGCCACAGGTTCCCCACCCCTGCCCTAAGTCTTTAATTCAATTCAAGAACTATTACTTAAGCAACTTCTCCCATGGGCCAGGCCTAATCAATTCACCAATCTCTATCTATCTCCCTCTCTCTTCCTTCCCCCTCCAAAGACAAAAAATGAAATTGTGTTGCCATTTCTCTAGGAGACACTTGACCATCAGCCAGTCACAAATAGAGTTTGGGACATGCTAGATGAGGCTAGAAAATAGAAAGGGGACAGAAGGAACTTCTAGAGAGCTTCCTGGTTTTGGACAATTTTGTGTTCACTAAGTCTGGCCTGAGCAGAAGTCACAGAAAGCCTCTGAAATACAACTACATGATAGAGATCAGTGATCAGCACTGGTTTAGGAGTCAGTAGGCCTGGTCTCTAGTGAATACCCTTTCACTAACCTTGAACAAGCCACTAACATTGAACTTAATGCCTCCAACTGGAACACAAGAATTATTCTAGGGGGCAACTAGATGGCGCAGTGGATAGAGCACCAGCCCTGGATTCAGGAGCACCTGAGTTCAAATCTGACCTCAGACACATAACACTTACTAGCTGTGTGACCCTGGGCAAGTCACTTAACCCTGTTGCCTAGCCAAAAAAAAAAAAGAATTATTCTATTTCCTGTATGTCCCAAATATATGCAGATATTCAGAGGTATCCTGGATAAGTTAAGTTCAGCCTGTGCCCTCCTCAAGACGAATAAAGCCACTTTATTAACCTGTCCCTCTGAGCTTCACCATTTGCATGATGTGTGGATGGCTGTTCTAAGTTGCAAAACTAGGGACAAAGGAGAAAAATAAATGCATGGGGGCTAAGGTGGGCACTCACCCCAGGACAAGCTTAGCAATCACATCCACTTCTCCTGAGATGGTCTGCAGCTGTGCTCGGGCCACAGCTGGGCGAGTCCATACATAGGAATATGCTGGTGAGACCAAGTCCTGCAAACGACTGATGCGCCCCTATTAAGAAAGGGATTGCAAAGAGGCAATTACAGAACTATCAGAGAGAAAACTCAGAAGGGGTTCTCCAAGGAAATCTGGGCAGGGTGGGCAGGGAGGGGTGCTCAAAGAAGAATGGCCCTGTGCTTCTCTGTATTGCCTTGGGGCACAATGAAGAGGAAGGGGAAGGACTGTATCATCCACGGTGACACCCAATCTAACCTGAGTCCCTACAAATGTACTCCTGTACATACCTGTCCCAGCAAAAGGATCCTCTCTACGTAGTCCTCACTGAGGATGTCCCTGTCCTCCAGCTGCTTTCCATACACCTCCTCCACCATGGCCTGAAGCTTCTTCACAAGCGGGAGCCTCTGAGCCTTGTCATTCAACAATCGAATCAAATGCAGCCTACAGGAGAGTGGAAGTTATGGATCTGCTCCAGGAAGAGGAAGGGGATGTACAGGTGGAAGGAAGTGGAGACAAGAGAAGACGGGAGGAAGAGAAGAAGCCTACCAGCATACAGGGAAGTGTCCATGCTCCCACACCAGGAGTGGAAAAGACTACAGAATGAAAAAAAAAATTAATCTGGGGTACCAAATTATCCCTCCCCATCCAAGGGAGGAGAAAGGAGTTTCTTTTCTTTTTACAGATGGAAAAATAAGGATCATATATAATAAAGTAACATTTTCAAGTAAGTATAACTAGAATTTAGGGTTTCTGGTTTTTTGTCTCCTAGAATATGGTGAATCCTTGGTCCTTACCCCTTAGGGGTAAGGTCGAGAACAAGGATTTTTGTGACTCAAAATGACAGAAGCGTCGTGGAGATCGAGGCCTCTTTATGAATAAGCAATATTATAACATGCAACTGGGAGCTGGGAGCCCTAAGTCTCATTGGCAAGCGTATAATGGCTTTGTCAAATATCATCCTTGTTTCCTCCCAAGAATTATTTTCCCTCCTCCCAGAATAGCTTTGGAACCCCACAACTCCAACTCATCATGCTTCACCTTCCTCTAGTACCTAGGCTAAACAAGACCCAGCCTTCTTGTGATTTAGCAGCAATAACAAGAAAAGGCAAGAAAGACCCCGGAAGAGAAGGAAAGCCCAGAGTCCCACTTCTTAATGTTCAGGGACTATTGCCCTTCTGAAAGCAGCCTGTTCTAATAGTCACGCAATAAAGAATACACAGGGGACAGCTAGGTGGCGCAGTGGATAGAGTACCAGTCCTAGAGTCAGGAAGACCTGAGTTCAAATCCGGCCTCAGACACATAACACTTATTAGCTGTTTGACTCTGAGCAAGTCACCCCAATTGCCTCACAAAAAAAAAAAAAAAAAAGAATGCACAGCATCCTGCTGATACTTTCACTGTTATTGCCAATTCATCTAAATAATTTAACAAACATCTATATCGTGCTTGTACCCAGGTCTTCAGTGGAAAGGTACTATTTGAAAGATTCAATAAACAAAATTCAAAATAGGTAAATTATAGTGTTCATGAACTAGCTGGGAAAAAACTAACAACAACAACAGAAGTGAGATTCTTGGGTCCTTACGTAAATCTGATCAAATGAGATGCAGTTTGCAATGTAGTCAATGCAGGAATGTGTTTTGCTTGGATACATATATTTGTTATAAGGGTTCTCCCCCACCCAATGGGCTAAGTGGGAAGGACAGAAAACAAATGCTTGTTAATTGAAAATATATTTAAATCTTAAAATAAATAAATCTCATCATCCTGAGGTCTGGCCCAAACACAAAGCCAGCCAGCAATTAGAATAACAAAAATGACCTGGCGAATAAAGGAGCTCTTCTTTGAGGAAGAGCTGTCCTCCAGTACAGCCCCCAAAACAGATCTAGTCTATAGGACCCACCTGTTGAATTCAGGAAGTTTCTCCAGATCCAGCAGGGCTGAATGGGTGCTGACCCCAGTTAAGTCAAACTGTTCTATCAACTCTGGCAGCGTCCTCCCCATCTGGTTCCCTGCAAATCAGTCAGGCCTGTCAGGGTTACACACTCCTCCTAAGCAGTCAGGCTCCTTTTCCTTTCTATATTGTAGGTTGATTCCCAAAACAGACCAGACTGCTCAGAATGAATGAGAATGCTTCTTATCCAGCTTTTCCTATTGGTTCCCATTCATAGCCCCAGCCAAGAATTCAGGCCAGGCTCTTAGTAATTAAGGCTCTTCAAGGAGCAATGCCAGGGGCCTCTCAAACTCTTAGAAAGGTCCTGCCTCCCCCGCCTCCCATCGCTACAGTACCTGCAAACCCTGAGCCATAATTGGTGATGATGTCTAACAAAGTCTCTGGGAGAAAGCCAGCTGAAGCGAAGTGTTCCAGAAAGATGTCCCCTTGCCGCTTGGACAACTTGCTGCCATCCTTATTGAGAAGCAGAGGCAAATGGGCAAAGTGGGGTGGCTCCCAACCCAGGGCCTTGTATAAAAGGAGATGTTTGGCAGTAGAGACAAGCCACTCACTGCCTCGAAGAACATGGCTGATGCCCATATGATGGTCATCCACCACACAGGCCAGGTGATAGGTGGGGAAACCATCACTCTTCAGGATCACAGGGTCACCCTCAACACTGGCCACTTCGTGCCGGTTCCAGCCATGTACCAGGTCCTGGAAAGTCTCAGCTCCCTCCTCCAGACGGAAGCGGACAATTGGCTTGGCACCCTCTGCCAATTTCCTGGCCACACGCTCAGGACTCAAGAGCCGGCACCGATTGTCATACCTATTGAAATTTCACAGAAAATATTCTCAGTCCAGGAACCCACAAACCCAGGATGCCTTAGCGGAGCTTGAGCTGATCAACATCAGCTAGACTAGGCTAGGTTATATGTCATAAGAAAACACAGAAATGGGATCTGGAAACATACTATACAATGACTACAATCACAGAAAAGGAAAGAACCAGAAAACAATCAAAACAGAATGTTGCAAAATTATAAAGGGCATGCTTGGTCCCAAAGAGGAGAGATGGAAAGATATCCTGCCACTGCCCCATATCCTCCATCCCCACCCTTCCTTTGTAAAGGTGGGTTTACAAAGGTATGTACTATCAGATTTTTTTTTTTTTGATGTGTTGATTGGTTTTCCTAAAAAAAATTTTTCTTTTCTTCCTCTTTAAAAAAAAATTCTGTTATAAATAATAGTTCTATGGGATGGGAAAGGAAAGAATGGAGAAGGTGACGTAAAAACAAAAGATACCACAAAATAAAATCTATTTTTTTTTTGTGAGACGATTGGGGTTAAGTGACTTACCCAGAGTCACACAGCTAAATAAAATCTATTTTAAAAAGAAACATAGCAATAAAAATGCCAAACTATGAGAGCCAACTGACAAAGTATCAGATACTTCTGGGTCAATTCTCAAGGACATGTGTTTTACCGGGGAGTCTGATGGTTCCTTAGGGCCTCTTTTTTCAGCAGCTCCAGGCGCTGTGGGGTACAGAAGCAATAGTAAGCAGCTCCAGTCTGCAACAGTGCTTCAGTGGCTTGGGCGTATAGCTCGAGGCGCTGAGACTGCTGGTAGGGGCCGACAGGACCTCCCCGCCGAGGGCTTTCATCAGGAGGAATGCCTGGAGAACAGGGAGTAGGAAAGTCAGCACTGCCCTGTAAACGCCCAGTCCTGCAGGAAGCCACCCAAAGGGCCAGGAATGAAAGCCCATTGGGGGAAATCGAGAGCACAACACACCTCCCCAACTATAGCCTGCCTCTCTTTTGTCCCAGAGAAAAAATTCATACAGACATCAACAAACATTCCCCAATATCGTAGGATGCTGGGAATATAAAGAAATATAAGAAAACTTCCTGCCTTCACAGGGTTGACCATGTAGCTGAGAGACAGAACATGCCTGAAAAGAAAAGAAAAGGCAGAACACGTAGAGTCCCAAATAAGCTGTAAATTAAATGGAAATTCCTATATGGTCAAATCTACTCTTTTTCACAACACTGATGTCTCTGATTCCTCCCTATCATAATCCTCTCACTGCACTGTCATTTCCATGACCAGAAACTGAAGGTATCTCCCACAGCCAAGAGCATCAGACTCAATCCACTGGGGCAGCTCTTCCAGAAGGCCCTTCCCTTCACCTGCTCAATCTCTGTCCCTCTCTTTCCCCGTCAGCAGAATACCTGGGAGAAGAAATGAGTAACTTTGGAAACTTCTCTAGATCTCAGGGAATGAACAGCAGAGCCAGAGATCTCTCCAGAGTTGAATACTTGGGAAGCCTTTCAGATCTTTCCTTCATTCCCTTTCTAAAGAGAGGTATCTGCTAACCTAAGGACCTTCTCCAGCACACCAACATATCTATCATCCCCCTCACTTTTTCCTCACAGTGACTGTGAAGTTATTTATCTTTAAATCACAGCTGTCAAGAAGACCTCCTGCGGCCTCTTTTACTTCTCCAAATGGTATGGGTGGAAGCCTGCTTCACAGATGGTTACTACAGTTCTTCCTTGGAAAAGAAAACTTTTATTACTGGGCTCTAGAGGAAGTTGTCTATACTACCCCAGGGCATACCAGCCCACTCCAACATGTCCTCGATGTTCTCAGCAGCCCCAGGCACCAAGCGGGTTTGATCTGTGTCTTCCAACCTTAAGATGAAACTCCCTTTGTATTTCCTGGCAAAGATGTAGTTGTATAAGGCAGTGCGTAGGCCTCCCAAATGCATGAAGCCTAGTTATAAGAAAGAAAAAAAACTTTCAAGTTATGCTTAGCAAGCGACTAAAATGTCTAAACTTTTTGACTCAGAGAGCCCATCCTCCTGGGCATATATGCCAAAGGGGTCAAAGACAGAAAGACCCTTCATATGCCAAAATACTTACAGCAGCACTTCTTTTTTTGTAGTAGCAAATAACTGGAGACAAACTAGACACCCATCCGATGGCAAAGAACAAAACAAACTATGGCAATGAAGGGAACAGAGTATTGCTTCAACCTCAAAAGTGATAAATATGATGATTACAGAGAAACATGGGAAGACTTATAAGAAGGGATGAAGAGTGAAGTAAGCAAAACCAGGGAAAGAACATACACAATGACCACAAAAGACTACAAGTGGAAAGAACCCCAAATCCCAACTGCACACTGTGCAATCACAATAATCAAGCTTGACCTGAAAGAAGAGAAGAGAAAATGTTCCCTTCCCTGCTCCCTTCTTTGCCATGGTTGAGGGCCCGTAGATGCAAAACAGTGTTTATACTGTCAGATTCAGCTGACATGTTAGCTTTGTTGAACTGCCTTTGTTTTCTCTTTTTTTCTTTTTCATTCATTAATATGAGAGATGGGTTTCTAGGAAGGAAAGGGGAGAGGTATCATAGCATCACAGAACTAGGGCTGGAAGTAATCTTAAAAGCCCATCCAGTCATATCTGTTTCAAGATGATAGGGATATAAAAACAAAAGATTGGTTTGTTTGTTTTTTATTTTTTGGTTTTTTTTAGGCAATTGGGGTTAAGTGACTTGCCCAGGGTCACACTGCTAGTTAAGTGTCAAATGTCTAGTCTGAGACTGGATTTGAACTCACGTCCTCCTGACTTCAGGGCCTGTGCTCTATCCACCTCGCTGTCCCAGTTTGTTTGTTTTTTAAAAGGAAACGTGAACAAGACTTAAAAAGCTAACAGCAAAGTCACTGGTAGAGAGCTAGACATCCAATGCAAACTGTGAGGACCTACTAACCAACCTCAGAGAATATTAAGTCTAGGGCCCAAGCCTTCAAATCCCCCAATACTCCTACATATTTCTATTTGATCATAACCTCCTATCATTCCAATTCCCCCTATACCTCATCCCTCCTAAACCTATTCTTGGCCCTCATTGAGACCTCCAATCTCTGTATCCTTCAGAATTTTCTTAAGACATTAGCCCTGCTCTGACCTTATGTTCCTCCCTATACAATCTATACCCTATCATTCCCCACATTAAATTCTACACTGTCCTCTTCTCTCAAATTCCCCTTGTCTTTTTGCTACTTCTCTTTCCAAATCTGAGCTCTGGCTTACTCCCCCTACATTCCTACTCCCCTGGAGCTAAATGGAGCTGGAGTTAAGTCACACACCCATGTTGACCGGGTACAAAGTGGAGCTTTCAATGAAGCAAGGCAGGGCTTTGTATTCACCCCTCATTAATCCCCAGACCCCCTCTTCAAGTGTCACACACCTCTCCCATTCCATCTCAAGAAGCTAAGGTTCCTGCCTATTACCTTCTTGAGAAATATGAGGCCATTCAACTTGAGTTCCTTCTTCTCCCATTCTCAAAAGCCCTTGATATCATCCTCTATTCTCTTTTACCCCTTCTCCTTGCCAAGTCTAGGCCCTCTATTGAGATGCCCTTAGCCTTCCCAACTTCTCCAACAGACTGAAACTTCAATCATCTCCTCTCTCTGTCTCTCTCCTCCCTCTTATCTCCCTCTTTCTCATCTCTCATATCTTCAACTTCTCTCTATTCACTGTTTCATTTTAATGACTTAAAAAACCCATTAGATCCCATCATCCCCTCAATTTATCTCCCTATATCTTTTTTCCTTTTCTAGGCCAAACTCCTAGAAAAAAGTCTATACTTGATACCTTCACTTTCTCTCCTCTCACTCACTCCTCAATCTTTTGCCAATTTGGCTTATAACCTCAGCACTCAACAGACACTAGTCTCTCCACAGTTACCCATGATCTCATACTTGCCAAATCTGATGGTCTTTCTCAGTCATCTGTCTTAACCCCTCTCCTCCATTTGATACCATTCACTACTTTATCCTTCTGGATATTCTCTCCTCTAGGAGTTTTCCTATTCTATGCTAATCTTTCCTAGTTCTCTTATTTGTCTGACCACTCCTTCCCAGTCTCTTTTGCTAGCTCATTATTCACATTACATATCCTAATTGTGGACTGTAAGTGTTCCCCAAGGTTCTGCCCCCAAGGACCCCTTCTTTTATTCCTCTAGAGTGTCTCTCTTGATAACGTCTCCATCTTCCAGGGGTTTAACTAGCATCTCTGTGCAGATGACTCCCAGATCAACATATCCAATCCCAAAGTCTCCTCTTCATAACCTGCCACTTATTGGACATTTTAAACTGGATGTCCCAGATACCTCTCAAAATCAACATGTCCAAACAACTTCTTATCTTTCTCCCAAACCTTCCCATTTTCCAGACTTCCCTATTTCCATCAAAAGGTACCATGAATCTTCCAGGTTCACCATCTCAGCATTCTTTTCAAATTCTCACTCTTCATCCCATCTATCCAAACAGCTGCCACATCTTGCCATTTTGACCTCTATAACATCTCCCACGTCCCTTCTCTTCACTCACATAGCTACCACTTTAATTCAGGCCTGCATCACCTTTCCCCTAGGTTACTGCAACCACCTTCTAATTGGTCTCCCTGCCTCAAGTCTCTCACCACTCCAGGCCATCCAACTCTGCTACACCAAAGCCACTTTCCTTAAGTACCGGTCTGACTGACCCACTGTCCTACTCAACTGAACTCCAGTGGCTCCCTATTGGCTCTAGTTTAAAGTAGGAACTCTACAGCTTTTAAAGCTCATCACAATTTGGCACCAATCAATCTTTTCAGGTCGATTAGATATTACTCACCTCCCACACTAGGCCATCCAGTCAAGCTGGACTTACTTCTGTTCATTACACAGGTCATTCCATCTCTCATCTTCATAACTTTGTACACCTCCCCTTCTTAGGGGGAATTCCGCTCTTCCTTCAAGACTCAATTCAAGCTTCTACACAAAGTTTTTCCTGATCACCTGAATGACCCAGTACTCTCCTCCTACCAAGCTACCTTGTTCTTAACTACTTTGTTTTAATCTGTATTTATTCTCCTCATATCGATTCTGTACTCAACTACATATGTATTTATCGTCTTCCCCCCATTAGAATGTAAGCTCTGTGAGAGTAGGGATGGTTTCATTCCTTGTATTTGCATCCTCAGCACTGAGCCCAGTGAACACTCAGTGCTGAACAAATTTGGCTTGCTGCTTTTTGGTACGCTTCACAGGACCAGAATCCAACAAGTCAGCTATGTAGCGAGAGCAGAGGTAAAAACAAGAGGTTTATATTCCCCATTTTAAAGTCAAAGCAACTGAGGCTAAACAATTTAAGTGACTGGTCCTGGGTCAAATAACTAATAAGTGACTTAAGGAGTATGAGAATGCAGGTCTTCCTAATTCTAAGTCTGGCATTCTATCCTCTACCCCAGGCGTAAGAAACCTGTGGCCTTCAGGCCACATGTAGCCCTCTAGGTTCTCAAGTGCAGCCTTTTGACTGAATCCAAACTTCATTGAACAAATCCTCTTAATAAAAGGATTTGTTCTGTAAAACTTGGACTTAGTCAAAAGGCCACACCCAACGACCTAAAAGGCCACATGTGGCCACTCCTGGTTTACCCTATACTGCCATACAAAGCATACTAGCTCACTTCTGAAGGGGCCAAGGCAGCTGACTACAGCGAGAAAGAGAGGCCTATATCGTCAAGAAGAAAAGAGAGAGACTAGGGGTCCCACTCACTAGGAATAAAAACGTCCCTAGCTTCTTGGAATATCAAGTTCTTAAATTCTATTCCTTATATCAGTAGCTTCACACATCTCATTTAGCCAACCTGTGTCAAATCACTTACATTTGGCAAAGCTGAGGATGACAAGCATTTTTTTCTATAAACTTGAAATGCCTTGAAATGGGTGTAATTTTTTTGAAAGTCAGGTTTTCATCCAATGCAATTAAATCAGGATTACATTTCTCTTGATTGAGGTACTGGCTAAGTGCCTCATTCCCTTGAGATTGTATTTTTTCATTCCATCTTCAGAGATGACTTAAAAATATAAATGCAAGTTTTCTGGGTAATGCCAGATTTTTTCTTCTATGAAAACAACGTAGGATCTGCTGCATCAGCCTCATACCAACTACTTCTGGCATATCCATGACTTCCCCATAAGGCTTCAAGTGGGTAGAAAGACCTCACAAAATCCCCCAAAAGCCATAAAAAATTATGTGTATACAGGTACTAAATTTATTTGTGTAAAAAAACAGGGAAATTAAATTAAGTATATTTGTTTATACTCTAAAACTGTGGCACTTTTGAGTCATAAAGGTTAGTCTTCCCAAAAGAAAATTGCTTAGGTAGATGCCCGGCTAGGGCAGCTAAGTGGAGCAGTGGATAGAGTGCTGGGCCAGAAGTCAGGGAAGATTCATCTTCCCGAGTTCAAATCCAGCCTCAGACACTTACTAGTTGTAAGACGCTGGGCAAGTCACTTAACCTTGTTCACCTCAGTTTCCTCATCTATAAAATGAGCTGAAGAAGGAAAGGGCAAATCACTCAAATATCTTGGCCAAGAAAACTTCAAATGGGGTCAAGAAGAGTCAGACATAACAGAAATGATTGAACAACAAAAGACGTCTGTCTGGAAGGCTGACCAGGAAGCAATGGGAAAAGGGCTTATGGCCTAGGTAACTGGGAAGCCTTGAACAAATTACTTAAATGTATTAGGCCTCAGTTCTTTGAATCATCGACTTAGAGCTGAAAAGGACCATAGATGTCACACAGACTAACTCCCACGTTTTATAGATGAGGAAAATGAGCCCAGAGAGGTTAATCTGCCAAATATTGGGGTTTCTACTTCCATAACACTTCTCCCTTCTGTCCCCTACTCTATACTCACACACAACCCTAGTTCAAGGTCACATTTCCTCTGACCAGGGCTATTTTAATAACCTCCTACTTGGTGTCCCTGGCTCAAATATCTCACTACCCTATTCTATTCTCCACAGACACCTTCCTAAACCACAGGTCTAACCATGTCACTCCCCTACTCAGCAAAGTGAATTGATCCCTATTACCTCTAGAATCAAATACAAACTCTGGCATTTAAAACTTTTCACAACCTTTCTAGCCTTATTACAAATTATTCCCCTTCATGTCCATGATCCAGCCAAACTGGCCGTCTTACTGTTTTCTCATACATGGGACTCTATCTCCTGTTCCCATTCTTTTGTATTGACTGTACCTCAAGCATGCAACACACTCTTTTCTCAGTCCCACTTCTTAGATAGAATCCCTAGTTTCTTTTAAGTCAAATGTTACCTTCCACATGAAGCTTTTCCTGATCTTTCTCAGCACTGCTGCTCTTCCCACATCCAAAATTTATCTTGTATCTATTTTGTGAATGTCTATACACGTGCTCCTTGTTCTACTCCTCTGGTCAGGGCAGGGGCTGTTTCTGAGTGTTTGGTCTTTAGCATAGCTTGGCACAGAGCTTGGACTTAAATTCTCGCTGAATGACTGACTGTTCAAGGACACAGTTAGTTAAGTGACAATTCTAAGATAAAACCTACATTTTAATCTGTATCAACCCTGTCTCGGTTTCACAGGAAGAGAACTGACACACCCTACACAACCTCCTTAAATGAATCCACAAAAACACAACCCAGGCAACATAATGCAAAAGTTGGTTTTCATATATTTAATATTATAATTTAATATTATATTACAATATTGTAAGTGCAATTACCATTACAGCAGTTTTCACATACTTTGTTACTAAAGTTTTGAGGTTACAGAGAAATGGCATCACTTACAAAAACCATTAGAAATGCTTCAGAGCACTCATCAATACAATGACTAACGGTGACTTCCAAGGATCTCATCACAGAACATGATTCTAGAGGTGGACCATAAGTGAGGAATGATATACTTTTTCAGTCACGGCCAACGTATTGACTTGTTTGCTTGACTGTTCTAATTTGTTACAAGCAGGGGTTTTTCCTGAGAGATGGGGGTTTTCTTGGGAAGTTAAGATTAATACAAAAAAAAAAAACCCCTGACGAATAAAACCCCTTTAAAATAATTGAGATCCTTACACCAGACATATCAGCAACTGCATTAACCACCTCATGGCAGTTGCAAGGTTCAAACGGGAATGTAGTGTTCATTCAACAAGCACTTACTATGCATCGAGTGCATGTCCAACAAAGGAGAGACGATTTTTGGCCTTCACTAGCTCAATACTTTACAAGCTCATTTGCAGGTATGTAAAGCTACTTGGTGAAAGTGCTGTGTACTGTACTACTTGGATAAATTTGCCCGGGGGTGATCTCTTCCCTTTCTCGCAGTCCTTCCCTCTCCCCAGTCCTAGTAAATTTCTTCTCTTCCCTCTTCCCCACCCCCACCCCCGACCGGGGCAGCGGCTAAGCCTAGAAACCTTGCTGATGGACACTTAGTTACCTGTGGGGCTCGGGGCGAACCTGACTCTCACAGCGGAGCTCTGCGGTCCAGGGCCCCCGCAGTACCCGCGCCATCGCCCCGCCCCCCAAGGCGCTCGGGCCAAGCGCAGCTGGAGCAGCCCCAGCAGTAGGACCGCCATGTGGAACTGAATGCACACGTGGCTAAACAGGTTCACTTCCGGGCGGGGCGCTAGCCAATCCGTTCCTCCCTTCTGGAGGAGGAGGAGCCTCCCTTTAAAAGGACAGAGTCCCTTTTCGCCGAGTCCTAGGGAATCAGCTCCCTTTCGGTGGGAATACTGATCGTCGCCGGACAGTTAGTTCCCACACCTTTGGCCCAAACGAGAGAAGGACTGCCATCAACCTCCTAGGGAATAACGAAAGGAGAGGCAGAGAGAACTGGTGAGTCTCCATAGGAACCTCCACCTGTTTCCGGTGGGCGTGTGTGAGTGTGTGTTTTGTGTGTGTGTGTGCGCGCGTGTGTACGTATGTGTGTGGGGAGGGGGAGAGTACGGGCCGAGACCGGGGCCAATCTCGTCTGCTCGGCGTTTCCCGGCGGCCTCCTCGCTGCGGTGGGTGTTGTACACAATCATCATGGCGGCAGCCGGAGCCCCGGATGGTGAGTATGGAGGGCAAGCTCGGGGAAGAGAGGACTGGCGGGCTGGCGGCCCGGAGCCGGGGCTGTGGAGGAAGGGGCGGAAGGGAGCGGCGGAGCCTCGGAGGGGAGGGAGGGCGAGCGGAGCGGAGAGGACAGGCCGCCCGCCTGGTCGCCCGCGAGGAAAGGAGCCGGAGCTGGTGCTGCGGACTCCCCTCGAGGGCCCTATTCTGGATCCCGAGCCCGAGCCTGGGACCAGACGGGCGTCCGCGGGCTGCGCGGAGAGGAGGGAAGGCGAGGCGGGGGGGGGGGGGGGCGGCCCCCCCCCCCCCCCCCCCCCCCGCCGCCCGGGCCCCGAGGCCCCCCCCCCCCCCCCCCCCCGCCCCGGCCCCCCCCGGCCCCCCCCCCCCCCCGGGGAGCAGCAGGAGGCCAGGGCACCAGCGCCGCTGCCGCCCGTGCCTCGCACTCCGGTGGTTTTTGTTTCGTGTGTCTAGAAGTCGAGGAGCCCGGCATGGAAACGGATGCCCAGAAGCTGCAGCTCAACTGCGTGGACGCCGAGGCTGAGACCTCCTCCTGCTCCTCCTCCGCGTCCTCGGCCGCGGCCGCGACGGCCAAGGGCAGCCTGCAGGCAGACCAGACGCAGGGGGGCATAGCCAGTGCCCAGGCCGCGGTCAGCAACGGCGACGACGCCGACGCCGAGAAGGAGCTGGTGGACCTGAAGATCATCTGGAACAAGAACAAATACGACGTGCGGGTGCCTCTGGACAGCACAGGGGCCGAGCTGAAGCGCAAGATCCACTCCATTACAGGTGGGTGGCCGCCTCCAGCCAGCCCTGACGTTGGAGCCGGCCTTAGAGCTTAGCGGGAACTATAGCCACCGCATTTATGTATCGACTTTAAAGCGTGCAAAGAACTTTACAATATTTCGTTCCATCTCCACGACAGCCCAGGGAGGGAGTTGTTATTATGTTCCCCATTTTACAGATGGAAAAACGGAGGCTGGGAGAGGTTAAGTAACTTGCCCAGGCTCACACAGCTCGAAAGTATCTGAGGTCACATTTGAATTCACATCTGCCTGCCTCCGGCTGCACTGTGCCCCCTAGCTGCCTCCAGGGTGAAAAACTTGTGTGCTGGTGGGGCCTGGGCCACTGTGGGCAATCCAGCTTCTTAAACCTGGGGTCTGGGCATAGATTTCAGGATGGTTAAATGTGTGTGTTGCATATGAATGTGTGTGTATGTCTATGCATGAGAGCATATGCATTGGGCCTGTATGTGTTTGTGTGCCTGTGTGTCTATATATTTCAATATAATTGGTTTCCTTAGTAATCTTATGCATTTAAAAACATTCTGAGAAGAATTCTTCCCTGGTCCATAGGTTTCACCTATCAGTGGGAAGAGTCAAGGACATCCACCCAAAAAATTATGAATCCCTGCTGTAAAACAAGTAACCTTTGCTAACAATGATTATAGTTCACTTTTTTTAGTTAGCTCTAAGTTTTGCAAAATACTTTACAAAGGTTGTTTCATTTAATACTCTTTTCCCCCAAAACCCCATGAAATAGGTTGTTTTTATCCTTGTTTTACAGAGGAGGAAACTGAGGCTTAGAGACAGACAGTAAGTGACTGACCCAGCATTACACAGCTCAGCAGTATGTAAGGCAGGATTCAGATCTAGGTTTTACTGAATTTTGAGTCCAACACTTTATCCAGTGTCCCCCACATGCCAGTCTTATGGGTGAAGGGAATTCCCTAAAGAAATGGAATCACCAGCTTGTGTTCCCCTCCACCACCAGCACTATCACCCCCCCACCCAAAAAAATCCTAATTAAATTGAATAGATCAAAATAAATTCACCCTTGATTTTATTCCTCTCTCCCATACTTAAGGTCTACCACCTGCCATGCAGAAAGTTATGTTTAAGGGACTTCTCCCTGAAGAGAAAACATTACGGGAAATTAAAGTAACCAGTGGTGCCAAGATTATGGTGGTTGGATCTACAATAAATGATGTTTTAGCAGTAAACACACCCAAAGATGCAGCACAGCAAGAAGCGAAAGCTGAAGAGAGTAAGAAGGAGCCACTTTGTAGGCAAAAGGTTGGTGACTTATTAATTGGTACTGGTGCTAAGAAGTTGGGGTTTGTGTCATTTCTTGGAACCCAGCCTGTTGGTTCCATTCTTCCTTGAATAAGCTTTTTCTTGGCCATAGTCCATGATAGAAATCTGAAACAGCGTTCTGGCCATGTAGATCTTAAGGGAAGTTAAAACTGACTGCTTTGCATCATTTTTCATCAGTTATAATTAGCGTATCCAAAGACTAACCATATAAAATAAGGAGACTTCATTTTCAGTGTTGTGGAGCTCTGAGTTGAGGCTAATAATGTCTTCTAATATACCATGACATGACCCTTACAGAAAGAGTTGGTGACCTACATCCCTTTTCAGATGAGCATGCAAACAGCTGGAAGTAAGTGTGTCCGGGTTTGCTTTGTTAGGTAAAATACTTAGAGTTCTTGCAGCCAGAAATGATAGCTTTCATATCTGTAAGACATTCTCCTAAAAGTGTGAAGCTCCACATGTATTTAAAGAGGCACATTTGCCTCTTTGTGTATCAAAAATGTACGTATACTGTTGTGTTTACCTGACCAAGGTAAACTGAAAGCTTTGTTCTTTACAATTGTTAGACTGACAGGAAAAGGCAATTTTAAACTGCATTTAGCTACATTTTGTCTGTCTTGAATTCTGCAAACTCTTCTAGCCATGTTCTTTTATTTTATTGTCCTAGGTCTTCTCTGTATCTTTTCTTGCCATACAAATGTGTAAATCCATGAGTGTATACTCTCCTAATAATTAATACTCTAATTCTGTTCATGTTTAACATGTCGTATTTTTTGTGAGCACAGTACACTCTTAAATACAAGGTTTGTGTTTCTGACGCTGACTTAATAAGCCTAAAGCTTTTCCCCATAGTATAACCTTCAAAAGGGACACGTAAAGTATGATTCAATTATGCTGTTAATATACTGACTTACTCTCTTGATGCAGGTTAGGAGGCATAACACTGCCTAATGAGAGGAACCCAACCCTTGGACTTTTTTTTCACCCTCTTTAAGAATATTTTGATGTCAAGCTCAAAAAAACTGGGAAAGAGTAGAAAATGGTTATTCTGGCATTCTTCCTGTTCATAGGGTTGGATACTTTGTTGTTTTCCATACTCTGAATATCTGTCCTACATGACAAGAACTAATGGTGAGGCATTGTGTCTTCTGACTCATTTAATAAGCATTATGTGAACAACCTTGAAGTATTGGTGGGTGGGTAGGGCTTTCTCTGACATCCAGGCTATATAGATTAGTATTTCTTAATTCAGATTAAAACCATTATATCTGCCTCCAAAGTCTGTGATAACATTAGCATCCCCCCAAAAAAAAAATGAAAACCACTTTTCAAGAAAAAACATCCAACCATAAATGTAAGAGTTTAACTCGTAAGGAGATTTTCTCCACACTTTTAGGGGTTTAATAAAGTGAATGTTATTTTTAGTATTCTTTAATTATTTCTGAGAGTTTAGAATTGCCAAACACATTTTGTGTGCTTGTTTAGCCTGAGATTCAACTTTTATATACATACACACATATATATTTTATTTGGGGGGGGGGGAATGACACAGGCGACAGGGATGGACTGAGAATCAGAGAAGCCAAGTTAGCTTGAATTAGCCTTAAGGGATACTAAAATTAAAAAACAAAAACAAAAAATTTACTTTCAAGTGTTCAGTTATCTGGAGTCCTTTTAAAGCAAAATATTAAGATAGAAATTTTTTTTTCCATTTTACTTATCTAAAGATTTCAAAGTGATGTATTTTTACATTTTTGGGATAGTAAGGACCATGAAGAAGTAAATACCTCACTTCAGGCGTGTTTCTCTGCATTGTAATTTCTGATTTATGTTCTAGCAACACAGGAAAGTGTTAGATAAAGGAAAACCTGAAGATGTGATGCCTTCTGTTAAGGGTGCCCAGGTAAGCAAAGCCCCTTGACCCATTGTAGTCATTCTGAAGTCTTGTGACCAATCCACTAGGTTTGATTTTCTGATATTCCTTCCAATTCTTCTTACCCTCAGTGTTCAGGGGGAGAACAGTCTTTATTGCCAGTATTCTTTAGTTTGATCCCTTCTTTATTGTTCCTTTTATCTATATGACAGTCTTTACCGCCACACCAGTTTTCTTATGTTTCCAGGAACGACTGCCAACAGTACCTTTATCAGGCATGTACAATAAGACGGGAGGAAAAGTGAGACTCACCTTCAAATTAGAACAAGACCAGTTGTGGATTGGCACTAAAGGTAATCTGCTATTGACATACCTCATATTTCTTTCTTCAGAATCAAATTGTTTCAGTTGCATATCTGACCCTTGTTCTAAACTAACCTGTCTTTACCATACTCTAGGTATTGCTCATTGTTTTATTTACACCTTTACACATTCAAGTTCAGTTGTACCCTTTTTTATTATTTTTTCAATCTTGTGTTAGTGTTTCCCGATTAAGGATTCCCTTTCTAGAAGGGCTATTAAAATGCCTACTAGGTGAGTGAGAGAGACAGCTGTGTTATATAATGGAAGCACTCTGAACTTGGATTCAGGTGAGAACTGACTTTGAATCCTGCTTCCAGCTCTTAGCTTGTGTGACCATAGAGGAGTCCTTAAAATCCCTGAGCCTTAGTTTCCTCATCTGTAAAATGGGGGTGATGCCTACTTTTGCTGTGAGAGTCAAATGAGTTTATGTAAGAAGTACTTTCTAAACACTA